GTCATCTTTTGTATTCTTTAGTGAATTTTTTTTATAGAATGAGCATTATTTAGTCACAAAATAAGTAAATACTAAAAACTTATAAAATACAAGGATTTAAAACTTATCTTGTAAACGCCCATGAGTAACTTCATATTGCAACATGTAAAAATTATGTTTATTTATATATCATTAGTTGTATTTAATTTTATCAAATATATTAGTTATTGATTGAGTATTACTTTTGTCATTTTTTAAGAGCTAAATGCATAACCAACCTGTGCAAATAAAGGAAATTTTTACTAATTAACATTAAAATAAATTTCATATTATATAGATTAAATGTATATGCATATATTGTGTGTATATTAACGTCATTTTTGTTTTCTATCTCACCACACTTCGCATTCCTTGATCTGGCCCTGATCTTCCAAATGTAGGTGCTAGAAATCCAACGATGGAGACACTCAAATAGTTGAATTATGTTGTGCAACCAATGATGATAATATTGGATATGCAAGTGAAGATATTGAGATACAAAGATGTCCCAATGGTGAAAATTCTTTGGGAAAGTGGTAGAGTTGAGGAAGAGGCTGGACAAACGGAAGCTATGATTATGAAGCATTAGCATTTTTCACTATCAATGCGAATAATTGGTGATAAAATTCTCGTTAGAAGGGGGTGAACGTGTGACACCACACTCGGTTGTGCATGCATTAATTACTCGTGATTAATAAAGGTATTTTGAACTATTATTATTATTATTAATGGTAGGAATCATTAGCAGATTTAGTTAATACTACTTCTGTCCCACTATGTTTGGGACAAAGGGTGTGGCGCAACTTTTAAGAAAAATTGGAATTGTGTGGTTGGTATTGAATTGACAAAGTGTGAATAAAGTAAGAATGAATTCTAACCACCCAAATATTACCAAATATGGTATGAGACAAACTTAATGGGACGGACGAAAAAGGTAAAACGGGACAAACTTAGGGGGACAGAGGGAGTAATTGGTTACTCAAATTGAGTATCACTCTATCAGACTCCATATGTCGGGTGGACTATCCAATAAACATTGTTAGCCCAAAATAATAAGGGGTGGAAACGTGCATCAGATCAGATTAGTATTTACAAGAGATTAGTATTTACAAGAGGAGGAGGCCAATGACCCAAATACAACAAAGATGGTCCACTTTACTTATAATTTTAGAGATATGTGTGGGAGTCTCATCTCATCTCATTTTCATAGTCATGTTCGAACTATTGGAGGTGGAGCACAACAAGAGCCTTCATACAAGCAATGAGGGAGGAAGAAAATAAGAGGACGAAATCCGATAAAGGGAAACAATAACTACCGGTCAAAATTCATATAAACTTTGTGTGATTAAAAAATCATTTGATAGATTCAAGATGTTTCTCTGATCGAGAACAAATATGGACTCAATAAGATTTGGAATCACTAGAATCACATCGAATTGTTGTTTTTGTATACTCGTTCTTGCTACTTTATGGAGTACTTGAGGAGAGCATGATCATTTGTTATAATCTAGGTGTTTTGATGTTATTTAAATTGTAATTTCATGTTATCTTTAGTCACAAGTACTTTATTTTGATTAAAATGAGCGTTACAGACAAAATAAAGTTCAAAACCCAAACAATTAGTAAGAATGGAAATATATCTGATCCTATATGGTGATATTCAATGAGGTTTTCTCTAGATAAATGTAAGAGTAGGGTGACTCACACATAGGGAAAACATACTCTCATGGTCTTAATCGGAGGGAATATAATAGCTGCATCGTACTCGTGAGAATTGGAAGCAAAAAACTCATTTTAAACTCCATTACTTGTACTGGTGAAAATTCAGATCTTGGTATGTTTATTCATATATTCATACATTCAAGAAAAATCATTGCACTCTTTTATTGTTTCATACTTGCAATTTTCAAAACTTAAACATTATAAAAACAATTGTTTGCATGCGGACCAACACAACATTTTACCACTATTATTATTACTATCGAGGGTTTAAATCACTTCTCACTGAATTTCCACTGCTAGGGTTTTTTTCTACGTTATCGATTCTTTCGAGGAGCGGCCGTCTTCCCTACACCTATTAGGGTTTTTTGTTCCGCCGATAGAGCTTCGTTCGTGCGGCTGGGTTTTTCGTGGAAGAGAGCTTCGTGCGGCTTTCCTCTTTGTAGTTTCGAAAAGTGAGTGGAGCGCAAGGGCGGTGAGGCGCGGCTTGGATTTTTGTGGGCGAAGAAACATAAAGCAACATGATAGAGTTTTATTCGGCACCTCGGACATGAATTTCAATGGCAAATCTCAAGGAGCAAATGGGCGAGCGCAAGAAGAATATGGTTTCAAACGAATTCTCCGGGGGTTGAAATACTCTTCTATCATACTACAACGACTCGCCCTTCTCTGGAACTACCTCCTTTCGTAATACTTATTTTTATTTCAGCTCGAGCGGGTGTGGTTAGAGTGTTTTGTTTTTTTGAAGAACTTTTGATAGGTAGTAATTCATTTTCGATCGTTTTAGGCTTCTTCTTGCCCGTTTTGTGTCTAGCGAGTCGGGTTGCTTTGTATGGGTGGTTGACTCTAAGTCTATTCATAGGGCTTACGATCGGATCTTTAATAATTGTCTGGGTTTTTGTCTTGCGTGTTTGCTCTATATTAATGAAGAGTTTTGAAGTTGGAGATAAGGTATTTTTGAAGGTAAGGCCTCATCGACAGTCTACAGTATTTCGTCATCATCACAAGTTGTCACAGCAAATTTTATGGATATGTTAGCGGGACGTAACATATATATCTTCCCATTTTTAAATCTTCCCTTCATACCCTCAATAATTTAAAAAATAATACACTATTACACCTACTTTTTTTGGATTTATCCTTCATTCCTTCACATTATTTCACCATCTTCCCATCATACCCTCAATAATTCATACCACATTTCACTATTCTTAATCTCACCCACTTTGGAAGTGAGAAGATATATGTGATACGGAGGGAGTAATAAATAATCTTTCAGGATTGGGTGAGGATTGGGTGAGCCAGAGAGTGAGAGAAGATAGACGAACCCCAAAAAAGAAAGAGCATTTTCAGGCATTGAAAAGTTTCCTGAAGGGGCCGTCTTTTCGATCTTTGGCAACTTCAGTCAAGGCAAGGAACCTTTTAAAAGCGTATATAAGAACTTGCATTTTTTTATTCTAAAATATGGTACATGCGTATATATACCAGCTATTACTACGTGCATATTAATAGTACATGCGTAAAAATGAAAGTAGTAGTCCATCTCATCTCATCACCTTTATTAAAAAATGGTACGTGCATATATATACCAGCTATTACTGCGTGCATGTTCTGCTATAAAAGCACGCCTCCAGTTGCAACTCTCTCGCATCTTTTAGCATTATGCTCTCATTATATGTTGCAGTATCAAGAGTTACAATCGTCATGGTTTGAAAATTTTAATTTGTGATGAAGATGAAGGGATCACAAACAAGATTCAAAATTTTAATGTAGTGTTATATTATATACGTTTATGTAATGTTACTTTCTTTGTTAATTTCTTTTCCCCGTCATTTCACCAATACTTGGTACTCTACATGTAATAATTATATTATTGGTGCCAACCTGCGTTATTTTTGTTAATTCATTCATGTTTGTGTTACTTTAAAACTTATATCAATTTTGCTACGTCATACATTTTGTCCTCACACAATTATATCTTTTTTATTTTTTGCCGCACAAAAAGCAGAAAAAACATTACAAACCGTGGGTGAATTACTAGTAACACTATAAAAAGCAACTGAAAGAGGTTTTACAATTGGAGAATCTCGTATTTTAAATAAAAGTACACATAAGTATCAACCAAAACTAATGAATAATCTATAAATATTATATGAAAACATTTATAGCAGAACATTTTGAAGTGAAATAATTAACCATAGCATCAGCATCTATCTTTTCTAGCATTTCAATTTGAATGCTTAATCCAACCAATCCACGCATCCAGTCTTCTTGCGACACGGTTGGCTCACTGGCTATAAATAACTGCTGGGAATTTTTAACGTTGAGAAATTTCTTTCCTTCCACAACAATTGTATATGTATAAGGATTTCAGAATTAAAAGGCCATAACCCCCACGAAACAACAATCAATACATTATAATATAATGGATGCATTTATACTTTGAAGAGTTGGAATTATGCCATCATATTAAGTAACCAACAACAATTGTGTGAATAAATAAATGTTTTATTCACATACAAAAAATGTATTTGAATAATGTATAAATGAAAAAAGAAGCATATTTAAATGAAAATATTGGGTCTAAAAATGAAAAAAGAAGAATACTCAAAACATACATAAACAAATACCCGTAATATAGGACTTTAATTTTTTCCGTGCCTAGGGCGGCCCCCTATTGCAGCCTTAGCACCACATCTACACATTGTTGTAATTAACAACAGATTCCATTATTATATTAACATTAGTATAGATAAAGATTTCACTTTTATAACTTTAGATCAAGTCAAACAACAAAAGGTTAAATACATAGGAAGAACTAATTCAAAGAAATCAAACAACCAAAAGGCTTGTTTGATTAAATGAAAAGTAACACCCTTTAAACGAGGCAAAAGGTACTCGGATTTGTTTCCTAGTCCTATTAGCCGATCTCATCATCATTGCATTATTATCAATTATTCTCGGTTTACGGTAATTTCAAAAGACGGAAGTCACATGGAATAATAACATAGCGTAGAGAAGAAATGTGGAAAAAAGAGGTCAATAATAGCCGCCTAATCTTTACGTAAATTGGGCATAAAACGCGGGTGTTTGACAGCCACTTTCTAGAAGACAGCGTATCCGTTCTGCCGAATCGTGCGTAACAAGTTAAAATAAACAGAACAATGGAACACCCGCCCCCATCCCATGCCTCCAACCCAACCACAACAATCGTTAAGCACCACCCTGGCCGTTACGTCACCGTTACCGTCAATCTACACGCCGTATATATACAACACCCCCTTCCTTCTTCTCAATCTATTACTAGTTCTGCCAAGCCAGCATCAATCCACATTCGATCTCTCGATCAAAATGCAGAAAATGGAAGAAGAAGATCTATACTTCAGTCCCAGCTTCAACAGTAGCTACTCATCACATTTATTTGTCAAAAACACCGGAGAATCCCCAGATGATTTTGAGCCGCAAAGTTCTAATTATAAGCCTGCCGAATCTGTCGCCGCGGAGTACCATAAAGAGGAGGAGGATGAAGGCAGTGATGATTTTGAATTCTCTTTGGTTCCAGAGCATTTCGAGGCCGTTTCAGGTGATTTCCTCTACGGCGGTCAAATTGGCACGGCTTTTCCAGTCTTCAACCGAGATCTGTTGTTAGATGAAGGTTTTGTGGTGCGAAATCGGGGAGAGGAAGGTAAGGAAATTCGCATTCCAAATGGAGTTGATAGGCCGGTTCGGATTCCGTTGCGGAATTTGTTCCTAGGAGAGAGGGAAGAAGGAGGTACTCTACGAACGCAGTCGTCGTCGTCGTCATCTGAAGCCGATGACGAGCTGGAGAGCGTGCCGCCGGGAACGTACTGCGTGTGGCGTCCGAAGAAGATCGAGACGTTTCCGAGTGTCTGCGAGAAGAGCAGTTCTACCGGATCGGTGTCAAAGCGAGGGAAGCTTCGAAAGTTGTTGCGCCGTATTAACAGTGACGGAAATGAACGTTTCGTGTTTCTGACTCCGAAAGGGGCCGAGAAGTCCAAGCAGTCTGGCGTTGTGCCGGAGTTCACCGGGAAAACAGAGGCGAAGAAGATTAAAGGCGGCCCAGCGGCGGCGCCGATGGCGGCTCACGAGGCGTTTTACTTGCGGAGTAAAGCGGCCAAGGAAGGCGAGAAACGGAAATCGTATTTACCGTACCGACGAGAATTAGTTGGCTTCTTCGCTAACGCCAACCCAGCCGGATTTGGGAAGACTTCTCGTTCCAATTAAAACCAAATTCAGATCTCACGATCTTCTTTTTGTTTCTTTATTATTTCGGGATCCGTGGAGACATAATGTTAAATTATTGTACAGTTTATTACGGAGTAGTTTAATTTCACTTTTACTTTGACTTCATCGATTCGCATTTAATTGTGATTGTTTTGATTTCAAGTTGGCCAGCACATAAGTTTAAATGCTACTGCGTGAATACTGACTGATACCATTATACATTTATACTCCATAATTAATAGAGAAAAAGATCATTACATAAGCCCTGGTTTCAATCCCAATTTAGATGCAATTGTATGTACACATTATACACTTGTATGTACAAATCATACATTCATAATTGTAAAATATATAACAAATCAGACATTTACTCCCTCCGTCCCGAAAACAACTTCCCGGTTGGACTTTCACACACTTTTAGGAAATAAATTTGACTTTACTGTAGAATGCACTGTTTTGCACTGTTTAAACACTGTTTGGCACTGTTTAAACACTGTTTGGCACTGTTTAAACACTGTTTGGCACTGTTTATCACTTTTTTGATGTAGATAATTTGCCAAATAAGGAAAGTATTGAAGTGTGAAGTTAATTTTGGGACATCCATTTAATGAAAGTGGGAAGTTGTTTTCGGGACAGAGGAAGTACTTGATAAGACAAGTTGAGATTAGACTCAAGATAAATTAGATCAAACTAGATCAGTCCTTTAATGTTTAATCAAAGGATATCTTTTGACTAAACCAATGTTTTACATAACATTTCACTTTGCCGTTCTAGGCCCACACGTCAATGATAAATTGTGGACACATTTTTCGAATTAGATGGACAAATTAACATACATTCTATATCACAATAGAAACTAGAAACAGGGCCGTGCCTTCTCCTAGGCCACTAGGCCAGTGAGGCTCGGGCCTCAGGGCCCCAAAAAACATCAAAAAATTAGGGCCCAAAAAATTAAATACTTTTATATTATATAGGGAAAATTCTCAAAATAGGAGTAAAAATGTTTGAAAATTGTAAAATAAGATTGAAAAATCTTGTTGACTATACCCATGAAAGTATATACCAAATGTAGAAAGAAGTTTCTCAAAACTGAAGTTTATAATGACATCTTTACAATTAATGATGTATGTAAAAAGGTACGTTGAATGAATTAGCTATGTTATCAATCCTTTGGTTATGCCGAATTTATTAATACTTTTGCATCTAAAATTGTTCGGAAAGTTGTATTTAACTAGTTTTTTAATTAATTCAGTACTATTATGCTATAATGTAAGAATTTTATTTAAATATTGATTTTTTGTGATATTTATTTTTTATTTCCAAATATGTTGTATTACAAAACAAATACGTAGTACTACATATAGGGCCCTTTAATGAAGTTCGACTCAGGCCCTAGTTACCGGCAATGACTAGAAATTTGGCACATTCAACCAAATTAAGGTGACTACTTATTTTAAACTCCTAATTAAGATGAGCAATAGGGATGTACTTTGTTAATGTATGAGTATGTAGTTACGTAAAGTACAAAAATACATACTACGTATTATACATTTCACTATTGGGTGGTTGGATATGCTTCTTAAAACTTTGCTTATGATTCTTCAAGATGCAAAAGCAGATATTGGAGTGTTTGTGTGGAAGTGCAGAAGTACTTATGGATGTTCCAAATTACTTTTAGAAACAAAATTTTAGAAATCAGGAAGTACAACTTCAGAAAAACTAATTTTGATTCTGTTTTTTTTTTCTTTAAAAAAAAGTAGAAGTAAAATCAATTGCAAATACCGTACCCCCTTTATAACATTTTTATGTTGTCATATACTCCGTAATAAATATATAGATTTCTTCATGTCAGTGAATGTACCACACCCTTATGACATAACAGAATTTGTCAATCAAAATTAATTAAATAAAAAATAGCTTGACATTAGGGTCCCATTGATAATCAATATTTTCAATTTAACTGTACTCTCCGTATTTTCTACCAAGTATATAACTTTCAAATATAAGTTGAACTATCTAATAATCAAAATAAGTTGAAGTTACTACTTAACTAAAATTGTTGAAGATGATAATTTAACGTGTGAAATAAAAATTTTGTTTTTCAATAAAAAAAAGTTGACTAATAAAATGAAAAAAATGATTTCCAATTGTATTCTATTTGAGTGCATTCTAATTTGATATACGTTTAGGATGTTTTCTTTTGGACTGAAATTTGCTGGTCTGGTCTGGTCTGATCTGGTCTGAATCGGTCTGGTAAACGTCTGGTCTCGGTGTATTTTATAACTACAGAAGTCAAGTCTGTTCTGGTCTGGTCTGACCTGGTCTAGTCTAATCTGGTCTGGTGTGGTCTAGGACTGAAAACCGTCCAAAAGAAAACATCATTGGTCATTTGGAGCATTTTCCTGTAACACGAGAATTTATTAAATTGAAAGAATATGCATAAATTGGTAAAATTAAGGATGTCACGGTTAAATTGTGTTTTCTTTATCAATTCGGAAAAGTTACTCTAATTCTGGTTTTTATTATTATTACCGAAATATAGATTATCAAATTAGGAAAAGTTACCCTAATTCTACTTTTTATTATCACTCTAATTCTACTTTTTATTAAATAAAACCCATACTGCATAAAAATTTACACAAAAAATAGGGATTTAATAATGTTGCATAAACTCGCTTTTTTTGTCATTTCGGATTTCGTTTTTTAGGAATATTCGGATTTCGTAGATAAAATGTACATTATTAAAATAAATAAATAAAAAATAAAATACATTCAGTCTTAATGGGTAAGGAACCATAGGCCATGGCAGTGTGAAGTACTAGTACTAATAATAAACCAACTTTAAATGAATTAATTGACCATCAAACCTAATTAACATTAATTAATGTTGTCAACATCGAGACAATGCCACCCGTAAGCGATGACGAGTTGCGATTAATTGGCCAACATAGTTGGTTCATCTATTTAAAATGTTTTTTGTCATTATTATTTTGGGGTTATGTCTAAAATAATACTAAAAAAAGAGCTATGAACAAAAAAGAGACCTTTATTTCAATTTTCCAAAAATGAGACTAACAATGGGTTAAGAGACTATTATACCCTTATTTTAATAGAATCTCACCCATTAGTCTACAATAACGCCACAGTGACCAAAACCATTATCGTGACCAAAAATCATTTGTGACCAAAAATCCAAAAATCCGTCAGTGACCAAAATCATTAGTGACAAAAAATTCTACCTAGTTACCAACGTCAACCCGTCCAGTGACCAATCCGACTAGTGACCATGACCAATCCACCCAGTGACAAAAAATCATTTGTGACCAAAATTCCAAAAATCCGTCAGTGACCAAAATCATTAGTGACAAAAAATTCTACCTAGTTACCAACGTCAACCCGTCCAGTGACCAATCTGACTAGTGACCATGACCAATGCATCTAGTGACCAAAAATCATTTGTGACAAAAAATCCAAAAATCCGTCAGTGACCAAAATCATTAGTGACAAATTTTTTTACCTAGTTATCAACGTCAACCCGTCCAGTGACCAATCCGACTAGTGACCATGACCAATCCACCCAGTGACCAAAAATCATTTGTGACCAAAATTCCAAAAATCCGTCAGTGACCAAAATCATTAGTGACCAAAATTTTTACCTAGTTACCAACGTCAACCCGTCCAGTGACCAATCTGACTAGTGACCATGACCAATCCATCTAGTGACCAAAAATCATTTGTGACCAAAAATCCAAAAATCCGTCAGTGACCAAAATCATTAGTGACCAAAAATTTTACCTAGTTACAAACGTCAACCCGTCCAGTGACCAATCTGACTAGTGACCATGACCAATCCACCCAGTGACCAAAAATCATTTGTGACAAAAAATCCAAAAATCATTTGGACCACTTGTTGCTAGTGTCGTGATCAGTGACCATTTCGACCGTGACCAATTCGACCGAGATCAATCCTACCATGACCAATTTGACGGTTACCAATCCAACCAGTGACCAACCCGACCAACGTTCATGACTGACCTAACCAATGACCAACCCGACCAATGACCCAATCCGGCCAGCACGAACCGGCCAGTGAACTCCACACCTCGGCGGTGACATCTTCCGCTCCGGCAGTGACAAGCCCACTAGCCCCACCCCGGTACCAGCTCCTCCCCCCTTCCCGGCCAACACGAACCCCCCAGCGCACAACCCTGTCCAATCCTCCCCTCCGGACAATGGCCAAGGCACTGTACAAACGATCATCGATAAAGTGGAGTACCGGCGCCGTCCTATCAATCCTCGCCCACCGGCGCTTTAGCCGTAGCCGTCCAGATCTAGCCGCACAGCCGCTCCAAGTAGATCTGAATCTGCACCGTCCGTCGATTCCGGCGGCGCTCGAACAGAAATAGAAACAAGCTAGAGAAGAAGGCAACTTCGACTAATAGAAGCGGACCAAGGGCGATAGGGTCAACGTTGGCTACAATGGAGATGTCATGCGATAGTGCGGCTGTGTGAATCGAGAAACAAAGCATCGAAGATTCAAGCAGAGCATGTCGTGCGACCTGAAAGTGAGGTGGAACGGCGGCTTGGACGGAAAGGCGGAGCGACGACGAGGCAGTGACGTGGAGGTAATCTTCGAAGCAGAGATCGACCTCCATGGTTGTCTGCTATCCTAATTCTAGATCCAAGCTATCGACGGGAAGTACTACTCTGCAGGGAAGAGTCAAGTTAGTAAGGCATTTTAGACATTTCATATAATCTCAGTCTCTTTTTTGTCCCATACAAAAGTTTGTGCTACTTTTGTCTAATCAAAAGTTGCAAGTCTTATTTTTGCCATTTTTTCTATTATTTTCATTAGTTATGCTCCACTAATTGTACTCCGTATTTGTCCTTCTTTGGCAAACAGTATGTAGCAGCTCTTCTAATTACTTTGATGAATAATTGTATGGACAAAAACCTAATTTGTTTGGTGATAGTCTGATAGAGACAGAGTACTATTCTGCTCATGGTATTGGAGGGTGAACAGCACTTCAACTTTTGTTTTTTCTAAGAGCTTGCAAAGGTTTGTCATGCGAGTCATGCGACAACATGCATAAGTACTTCAATAAAACAAACTTAAACATACATCAAATCAAACAAATCAAAATAAAAACAAATCGGATCAAAGACCAAACAAAACTTAAATAGATTAGATCGGGCTTAAACATAACAGACATATAAGAAAAATTTAGTCCAATGAAAACATTCTTAATGGCAAGGCGGGCTAATGGA